CCCACAGACATCACTGAGGGTGCACTCCTGTCACTCCAAATACAACACGACCATTTCAAACCCTGTTACAGGAATCAAAACATTCGAACTGCTTGATGGAGAGGTGCTGTAACACTTTCAATGATTTCATAATGTCTTGGTATCATAAAGTAGTCAGAAATGATAATTAGATTCTTTATTTAAATATTCCAACATTTAAATGTTCTCTCTACTGCAGGCAATGTTTCATCTTCTTATTTTACTGAAATTCAGTCCTTTGATTTCACAGAGTTTTCTTTTTAAATGTAAAACTTCCAATGCTTTCATTACTCATGGAAATGAGTTGACTCCCCTCAACAAAGCTACCTGCAAAGATGACCTCACCTTCAAGCAGTATAAGATCTTTAGAGCGTTCATTTTATAATTGATTTCACACCAGTTGATCACAATGGTAAATGAGTTTCAGGTTTGCTCTCAATTTCACAAAAATCAAAAAAGGTTCTGTTAAAAAAATGAAACAAATTGGACTAGGATTGTAAAAAATGGGATAGGAAGGATGAGTAAATCAGGAGTATCACAAAGAAATGGGAAAAATAGTCATAGGAAAATTAGTATGACATTGGAGAACCAGCAAGCGAGGTTGTGGCTATTGGGAGGATTTAATTTGTGAGGAAAAGGGTAAAAAAGACAGAGGAATTGTAAGGAATGAAGGTAGAAGGAGAAGGAAGGAATGCCCCTTTGGAAAGACAGATGGATTTTGGTGAAGCATAGTAAATAGACATTTAACTAGTTCCACACCAGTACAGAAAGACTTAATCCATTAACAAGAGAGAAAAACCATTTTTACACAATTAAAAAATAATTAGTTATATCATATTTTAAAAAGGAAGGAAAGCACATTATTCATTTAATATCATAGCATACTTGACACTTTCAAATGAAAATATCTTTTCCATGAACAAAACATACTGCATTCATGACACGATTGGAACAAAGTTTCTTGTCTATCTTTTCTGTGTGCCAAAAAGTCGCAGGACAATATTAGGAAAACAGCAACCCAAACGTTACCCTTCTTTACCAAATTATAAGATTGTGATGTAAAACAATCCCCACGAGTCAGGAACTGTGAATTGGCTAAGTTTTCATCTGAAACCTACAAACATGACAGAGTAGCACAGAAGCCCAACAGTGTCAGGGTCAAATCTCATGTTATTTGTGCTCAATGTAACACCAATATATTTGCTGTGAGTGTATGCAAGCACAGAGCATGGACATACTCCAAAAATTATTCTGAAAATGGACAGAACAGTTTGGTTTCTGACTCTTTTCTATATCTTTAGGACTCCTATTTCTTTAACTTGTTGTGTTACAAGTCATAAGATAACTATTTAAACTTCCAGTTTTGCAGGGCAAACCCATGATCTTATTCAAACCAATGCAGCAGTCATCTGAGTAGAGAATAGTCTGGATTTCCTGAGTACTTTACTACTTTTTCCACAGACTGAGTTCTTGTCTCTTAATCTTCACCTCCTTAGTCTGAACTATAGAGATCCACAGAAGATACGGAGAATCTACAGCTGATGAGGATTAAAAAAAAATTCCTTCCTGCCCTTCCTCAGTGCCTAGAGAAATACAAAGTTGTGGCACTTCTGTAACACTGTTATGGTTGGAACAATCTCCAATCCTCACATGCACAGGTTTTCATCAATGCAGAGTGTAGGGGGAAAAGGATGGGCCTTTTTCCCCCAGGCGGAAAACCAGTGGCCTTTCCGGCCACTGTTGTGATACATCATACTCCTCTGTCAGTATTTATAACAAGAGACACAACTGCACATTTGGGATCAGGGCCCCCCTTCCCTCCCTCTCCCCACAACACAATCTCTACCTTTTGTTAAAGGTTATTCCTATTTTTTTGTGCTAAGTGCTCCTGGACTATAATTTTATATGAGTAATTACAGCTAGAACAGTTTTAAAAAATATTTTTACAGCCAAGTTAAGCAGACATTATAATGCAAACACTGACTTGCTTTCACTGTAGCAGAACTAGTGACAGGCTAAAATAAAGATCATCAGTCTAGGACTCATCTCAAACTGAAGAAGTAAAGATTTATTCCCAGCCTATTGTAGCATGTCTGTGAAAAAAAACAAGCGTCACTGGTTCTCAATAGAATGTTTGTAATGATATATATTTTTGCAGTGCAATTTGAATTAAGTTTCTTAACTAGAAACTTGCTATTCTCAACTTCTGCAATGTCAGTCTAACAGCCAATACTGTAGGGAATATTTAAACCCCAAGAAATCATGAGCTGGATGCTCAACTTGTAAACTGCTTTCTCTCTTTTGAAATGGGTGCTGTTACACCAATTTGGTCATAGATAATTAGTAATTTACTTAAGGAAAAACATCAGAGCAGAGAAAATTTGTTATAATGAAAGCTTCTATTAATTGCATTACATTGTGTCTTTTGAGAGTCAGCCTTCCATTCGGAAAAGGAACTATTGATGCAGCTAAGGTGGTTTTGGTGAAACCAGTTTACTTGCAAGATACAAGTACTCCCTCATTTCTGGAAAAAATGTGTCAAAACTGTGCAACAGAAGTCTGTTTCATGGAGTTCTTAACTATATCTTCCCTGATTTTTCACCAAGAAAGACCTTCCTTTGCCTTCTAATTTTCTTTGAATATTCTGAGAATTTTTAAGGCAGAGATTCCATCTTCGTTTTTACTCTACAGACTTCCTGGCAATCCTCTTAATCTGAAAGCCCGTACGATAACATGGTTTATGAAATATCTGTCAGACTTGCTAAGTACTTTATCCCATGCATTCTCCTCAAGAAACAGGTTTCGCCTGTTGCTGAATTTTTAGGGGGATGAAGGACTAGACTGCCTGTCCTGCAGCCCAAGAGAACAAGGCTCCACAGGAAGCTTGAATCGCAACTGAACTCCAAAAAGGGCCTGACCGTGCCTTGTGGCCACACAGAATTCCCTCGCCCTCTTGCAACTGGAGGTCCTGTGTTTGAGCTATTTAGTCAGTCTCTGGGAGTAATGAACTAATACCCCAAAGCAGCATGCTGGACTCTGGGACATTAAAATATTTTTACATCCTGAGGGCAAGAATCTCAGCTGTTCCATTTTCACATGATATCATATTTAGAGAAGTCAACTGTTTTACCAGCTTTCCAGCTTTTCTTCCTGTATTTTGTCTGCCTATCTCTAGCTGTACATGGAAACACAGACTCAGAAGGTCTGGCTGGAAAAGACTTCTGGAGGTCGCCTAGTCTAAGCTCCCAGCCTGAGCAGGACGATTCCTGACCCTAGATCAGGTCAGACCAGACCAGGTCCTGCAGTCCTCCATGGGTTCAGCTACCTCTTTGGGTAAACTGTCCCAGTGCCGTGCTGCCCTTCTAGCGAACAAGGTTGTCCTAATAGCCACTCTGAACGCCCCAGGAGCAGCTTGTGGTCCTGTCTTTTCCCATTTACCGTTACCTAGAATAGTTTTGCTCCATCATCTTTGTATCTCCCCTTCAAGTAGTTTGGCCTCCTCTTTGTCAGACTAAGCCAGTCCACCTCCTTTAACCTCTTCTATTGGTTGCGTATGCCCCAGGCCTCTGCCAGCTTGGTAGCCTTCTTCCTCTCAAATTTCTCAGTTTTTTCGTGAACTGGGAGGATCAAAATACCATCTGCAGTATTCAAGCAACCTCACCAGAATTGATTAAAGAGGGGTAATAACTTATTTTAATCTTCTGGACGCAACCCTTCTAATGCCTCCCAGTATGAGAACATACTGTTAAGCTCATTCCATTTGGCATCTACTGTAACTCCTGCTTAGCACAGGCTGGCCATTTTGCCAGTCATCTATCAGAGCTGGCAGTTATCAGTTACACCTTTCTACTGATAACTGCTCTCAAAAAGAAAAGCTGTTCTCTTGTGACAGACAGACCTGTAGTCTTTCACAGCAAGCATGAGCTTGCCATTCATTGTGATTACTCTGCCAGGTCAGACCCTGCCTTTATAATATTCATAGAGCACCTGCTTAAGCAACAGTTGTTCTGCCAAATCAGTGCCTTACCAGTGATCTCTGAGCTCAAAATAAGCAGTATAACAAGGGACAGAAGGGAAGGATACATTTCATAGTACCCTTACCAATGCATTGGGAACTGTTTTGCCTGACAGTATCGAGAAAAGGAGGTGAATTCAAACAGCCATGGTGACTTTTTAACCCTGCTTCTTGTTTAAGAAACCGTGATGGGACGCGGACCTGGTATAACCCTGTACATGTTAGCTAGGCAAAAATCTGAACTAGAAAAATGACCTGCTATGTGTATGGACTTTGATATAAAGTGGCTTGCTGTGAGTGCTAATTCAGCGGTTTTAGTAACTGTGTTCTGTGTTGATTAGAAATAGGATAGATTTGCTCATGAGCTTTGTCTGCATGCATTTAGTCCTAAATTGCTTTTTACTAAACATATTTCCAAGTCACTGTGTCTGGACAGTGAAAATGAAGTTAGGCTGTTTCTGTTAACTTCACTGTCTAGCTGGTTTACCAGAACGGTTGAATATATGATTCAATTTAAATCCACTTAATTGTAAGTAAGACACATTGCCAAAAATAAAAATTGAAACAGTTCCTGTCCTTATCCATTTGGTGTGGGACAGGTAGTGTGTACAGGCATGGTACACTAGAATCAACAGTTATACTGCAAATACTGCCAAGGAACAGAGCTGGGGTCTTCAGTATAAAATTACTACCACAATGACACATTTCAGTGATGTCTGCATTAAAAATTTCAGGCTGACAAGGATTTTCAGCAAGTGTAGGATGGATTGGAGAAAATGAGCCTAAAAACAAGCTGTGCTTTAGGACATGTTGATATTACTAGTTCTGTGCCTAAATTTTTGTGGGTTTTCATGATTTTGCTTAGCATGTATCTGTGACCTGCCTTTTGGCACACAGTAGAAACAAAGATAAGTTTTAATGGGACAATTTATAGCATAAAGACAGCAGAACTGACTAGGCTGAGGAATCAAGCAACAGTTAATAACACTGTGGTCACCTTTTCTCCCTTTTCTCCTATATCACCCTTTTCTCCTCGAGGACCAGGGAAACCCTATAAAAACAAAATGGACAAAGATAGGTCGACTTTTAGTCACATGCAGGTTAAGCTTTCAAATACTCTTGGAAAACATAAAAAAAGATGATTTCACTACATGCTTTGTATGTATATGTGTGTTATGTGTGCACACACGCATGCACACAAGAGCCTGTGAGACAAGTCATAGTGTTTGGTAGAGTCATTTTGCCAGCAATGGAAAGAAATCATATCACTCAAAATGGCAATAGTCCATGCTATGTAGCATATGTACATTCTGGAAAAGACTCCTCCAAGTTAGAGGTTTCAGTGTAGGACTAGAGGAAAAGGCTTTCAGTAAGTCTTTTTAGTATGCTGAAGAAAGAGCCTATGTTTTGAAATTTATCCCTTACAGGTTATGGAATTATTCTCTTTAATTAGGATAAATTTACTTAACCAGATGTTAGTGACTCCTTGTGCTTCTACAGCTGAGTCACAAGTCTGAATATTTTCTTACCAAGCACAGTTTTTCAGCCTATTGAGTTCCAAAGAACCAGCTACTTGTATTACTAAGCACTATATCTGTTGGGGTCTGTCGATAAGGGCCATATATTGCATAATCTTTGTCCTCTTTATCATAGAGAGAGAGCAAATGCAGCATTTCACTCTCTGTATGTACTGCATGCACACTAAATGGAAACAAAGGTATAACACTCAGTAAGCTATTTCTAGAAAGACGCTTACCTACCATTAAGAGTGCATTGGTCATACATATTACTTACATCAAGGCCAGGCTCGCCATCTTTGCCCTGCCAAAGAACCATATAAACTACATTAGTGTCCCTAAGCTGTGATACCATCGGCCGCCTGGATGCCCGACTTCTGCGATCCCTCTATACTGTGGTACCCCATGTTGCTAAGGCTGTACACACAGCATTGCTGTTAGTGAAGGACATTTCTGTCAGTGTTTAACATTTCCAGGAACTGATAACTTGACTGTAAAATTTTGCTTGACTGTAAAATTACATTTGTACGCAGATTCCAGGAGCAAGCTAAAAATACAGAAAGCCTATCATTTTTCATTTTTAGTTCACAGGAAGGGGAAACAGAATTGGATTTTTTTTTTTAATTTAACTCACAAAAGTGACCCTCAGATAAACATGCACTGCAAGCTAATTTAACACTCCACAGAGCCTGAAAACTGTCTCTAGTCATTGACTCCTGATCCAATTAAATGGATCCAATTAAACCACGAGTCTGTATTCCAGCTTAAATTAATTAATCAAACAGATTAGACTAGAGAGGGTATGGAAACAGCGCAAGTCTCTTGCAAAGGCTGGTTGTGCTTGGCCAAGCACATTTACATGGCTTTTCTTGTGTCAAAGTATGGAACAGACATGTATGTGTACACACCTGACCCAGTTATCAGCAAAGTAAACAGAGTAAGTCAGCTGATTTTATTGGGGCTATCCTTGTTAGGCCAAAGGAAGTTCTCACTCATATTTTAGAAACAGATGATATCATTTAAATGGTTGATTTAAAGCATACCATCTCCACCTATGAATGATCAACAATGAACTTCTGAAATTGCTTCTGAGCACACACCACAGAAATTAAAACAAAACTGGTCTCTGAAGTGTCAAACAAAGATATAATGGTGAAGTAGCCTTGCAGCACGGAAATCCAAGCAGTTTACTGACATTAAGAAAATCACACCTTTCCACTGTTCATCCTGACCTCCTGCCACTCTTGCATGGTCCCCAGACAGCTGATGGCCACAGGCTGCAGAAACAGGAGCACCCGCATTCTGGATTTCCTCTCTCTTGCTGGTTCATGTCTGGTCTGTTTCATTACTTTTGCATGACCATGTGCTCGGGTAGGAATCTATGTCTGCGGTACAGACCAGTGACCTTCCGCTGTCAGGGATTATTATCTATCTTTGCCTTTTCCAAATAATTGTATTGCTAGGTGAAAAGCAGTCATAAAGCACACAACGTTTAATCAAGGCGTGATGAAAAGCACGATGTGTACAAACTACGTGCAACTTACAGGCAAGCCGTATGGTCCTCTGGGTCCAGGGTCACCTACAGTTCCCTTTTCACCCTAAGAAAAGATTACAGAACAAGCAAACAAAACCATTGTCTATCTTAGATAGAAATAATCTCTACCAAGTGCTTTAGGTTAAAGTTATGCATTCCTAAATCTTTTGAGTGAAAAATATCCAAGCTTGTTTATTTTTATCAAATGATTCAGGGGGCGAAGAGAAGGTGTGTATTAGTTTCTAGGCAAAATGAGCTTTCGGATATATGATACTACATTTGTTTTTAAATCCATCAGTAACTGAAAATATTTTTTCAAACTGAAGTTGCACCAATTTAAATTTTAAGCTTGTAACAGCTACAACATCACACTCAGTAAAAATCCAGTGTTGTAATGACAACTGAGGATATAGAGCATCAAGCTCCAGCACAGCAGCTGAGATGCAACACAGTGACAAGCAAAAATGTGTCAATCAAAGCTTGTATTTATGCAGGCAATGCTATTAACAGTGACATTGTGAAGATTATCCCATGCACTTTACTGTGTTGCTAACTGCTCTATTGGATTCTAGATTAGTGACATAAATACCCTGGTTTATTAAATCACAACTGTATTAATGTGCAAGACAAACAAGTACAGAGATTACTCCAGAAGTTTGATGTCATGCTGCACTAAAATCTATGGAAAAATTACCAGTTTCCAGAGGGATGCTACCAAAATCATTTTGCAAGTTTAATATAGAGAAAACTTTTCCAAATGAAGTGAAATTTCAAGGTGACAGATTTCAGGCTGACAGTAGCAATCATCTTTGCTCTCCAATTGTTCTTCATCAAGATTGATATGGAGTTAAACTTCCCAAGTCAGCCAACATTAGCCCCTGTAACTGCGAGCACAGCCCTCTGTCAGCTTGTTAGTGAGGCAGGGCTAGTAAGTAGGTGCGGGCAGCAGTCTTGTTTCAGACTGTGGTGCTGTTTCTTCTGAATACAGTTCAGCAGAAAAGCCATACTCTCTCTTGAGAGAACTAAACTGCTCAGAGTGTTGATGAGATTAAAAAAAAAGTCCTGACCACCTCCAGTTTTCAGAGCTCCTACTTTGGATTTGTTACGTAGGGTTATTTGGATCCCTTCTTCGCCTCCTTTCCTTAACATAGCCTAATGCAAGGCTTTGTGCAAGGCTTCTGGCACACAGAAATGCTGTGTTTCATCCTAGCAATTGCTGCACTTAAGCTCTTGAGACAATTCTGTGTACGAGATCCTCTAAAAACCTGGGTTATTTACTACTCATTGTTAATTGATTACTCTATTATTAAAAGCACAAGACAGAAATGTAGATGTGTGCTTAATTAATAGTGGTGATCATCAGCACAGCCAAGTCCCTTAGCACAGCTCTGAAAATGGGCTGCCAAGTCTCAATTTTGTTGACTGGATAATACAAAAAAGCAGGCAGCAGAATAAACTGAGTCTGATCCTGTTGGTGAATAATCACAGCAGTAAGGAGTTTGTCAGAGTAATTGACAGTTGATTTATTTTAGATATTTCATATTTTTACATAGGTGGACACTGTCTATACTCACTTCAGTCTAGTGGTGATTAGATGTGTAATGTGTGATCTTTCTGGATTCTGTTAATGTCCAGCCATTTCTGAGCAGCTCTTAGGCTGGATGCCCTTGCAGAACAATAGGAGGTATTGGGAAGTAACAGCTGATTTTCAAAACAGTAAATCCCTTGCAGCTTTAAAACTTTCTGCAAGAGAAGAAACTAATGTGCTGACCTATGTATATAACTGTTTGATAACTAGTCTTGACATATTTCAAGTATTGAAGTATCTTTTTCTTAAATCTTCAACAGCAAAGACGACTGTACAAAAGTCCTCTAAAGATAGGCCTATAACGTTGCTAAACATATGGTAGACATAAAGGTACTCAATGTATCAGTTTAGGAAATAATCTCATCTGTTATGTAAGAATATATTTAGAGAAACGTATCTCATAATTTTTTTGCCTCCAATACAAAGCACATGCTGAAATGTGTTTGGAATATCAGATGAGGTCCTGAATGTTTATGGATTATATAAGATTGATGGACTGTCACGGGCATACTGCCCTCAGCCATCACGATAAAGCATTTCCTTCAGGGAAACAGACATTCGCAAACCTGAAGAAGGTTTTTAATATCTTTTTGCAAGACAATTCATCAGTGCCCAAAGCACAGAAACCATAGCCTTTGTTTTTGCCTCCTATGTCATTCAGTCTCCTGAATCATGGGTGAATATGGACTACCATTTGCACAAATAACGCTGCATAAATGGTGTCCCCAGTAAGACTGATATGGAGATTTCATAACACTGCCATGGTGACAAACGTTTTAACCAAATTAAAGAGAATGCACTTTCCCTCCCAGTACAGAACATGTGTAGTGATGACAGTGTTGCACGGGCTACACATCTGAGAGCCAAAACCAAGCTCAAAACCCGGTCTTTGCCATCAAGACAAGAGTTTCAGGAAATTAGCATTTCATTAATTTTGTCTTTCAGCTTCTTTTAGATGGACAAGTTGGATACACATTATGCCTGTCGTTACCCTTCAGGTTTACATGTCCCCTTTCACTAGTAGTAGTTTAAGATGTTTATCTGTTTACCGATGTTCTCTATTTTCTCTCAAGACAATATATTAGAGAGATTAATAGGTACACAGCCAGATTCAGAGGCTTGTTATGATCAACTCCTCCAGTTAATGAAGATGGTCTCAGTAAAAGCTCTCTAAGCACCTAGCAAAATGGTATTTTCAATAGCCAAAGAATTTATTAACGACTGTAAAACACCAGCCTAATAAATGGTATTAATTCACACTGTTAATTACAATTTCTGTTTCTACCAAAAGAAATGCACAAAACCACAGTATTGGAATGTTCACCAGTATCATACTTCAGGAAGTGTTAAATCCTGTGTTAGCTTTTAATAATCAATGAACAGTTTAAAGTTTAGAGAGAAAATTACACGGTTAAGCTCACACAGTGAGTTAATAGCGCATTTGTTCTAAAATTAATGTTTTCCTATTTTCTAGTGACATGCACTGTTTTCCTAGTCTACTTTCTTGCCATCTAAATAAGTTTTGTATAAGGACTGTGATATTTTCTATTTTAATTAAATAGCTAAATTGGAAACAAACTAACCAACTGTAATTTGCACAACAGTCTGTCCTACCTAAGAAGTAATTCAGCATTGCCTCAAATGCAGTCTATGCAAAAATGAATCCATGATTTCTATATGAGAAATCACTAGGCTTCGGTTTGATTATACTTGCTTTCCTTAACTTTTAAGGAGACATAAATATATACTGACCAGCTTTTTACGTTTATTCTCTTAAAGTGAGATTGTCTTTCCAAATTTTAAATAATGTGGATTTAAGAACGTGGTTATGTTTCATGTTAGGAATCCCTAGTGCCTGTCTAGGTTAATATTGGCCCAAGGTTTTTCATATCAGTATGGAAAAAATGTGATCCTGTCCAGTGATAGTGAGCAGTGGCACTGTGCACCATTTTTAATTAAAAGGCAAAGTATGAAGTCTGCAGGCAAAAAAGTTTTCCTCCTGCTTTCACATAACAAGTTCATCAGTTGCAAATGCAAGCTGTAAATCTGCATTAAAACCACGTGATTTGTTATTTAGATAATGAGACATATATTAATGCCAGACACCTGTTAAGATAACTATGCTACAAACAACTTCTGCCAAACAGTATTGAATAATTAAATGAACAATTACAGCAATAATCTTGCTAGTTGATTGCTTGGGAAAAAACCTTCCATCTTTCTTGTGAACTTCCTCCCATTCATTTAGCTACACAGAAAATGGCGGGTGTGCAGGAATTTCTTGTACACCTTAGTTTCTATTTTTTTTCAAATCTATCCCTCTGTGCTCATGCAATTATTGAACCAATTTACATCACAGAAGTTCCTGTCCCCTTTGTAACTACTACTTGTCAACAGCCGTGGTAGGCCTGATTCTAGAACCAGCTGTATGACTTATTATGACCTCAGATAATTTCATAATAAAAACCAATTATAGTTATCTTCCATACATTAGAAGAATAGTTTGCATTATATCACATGGTTTTTGAAATAAATTTCAACTGGTAGTACATAGGCAGATCCTTCAAGATAAAGGTTCATAATGCAAGAATGAAATGTACAGTATTTATATATGCTTCTGCATGTATATCTCATCTAAATTATTTCCTGAAGTTCAGAAGATGATGTTCAACTATCTTCACAGAGTTGATAGAAAAAAAAGTTATGTCCTAGTTGAAAAAAAGACTTGAATCTGTAATCCCCTAGGAAAAAAGGAAAAATACCCAAGTCCTTCAGACAGTTAACTAGCCTGAGTAGTAACTACAGTCTACTGTTCCTATTTTGGACTACAGTGCATGTCTTTTATTTATTTCTCAACACACAGCTCTGTAAAAATGAATCATCAAGTCATGCATACCTTTCTCAGATGTACTGCTCCTAAAGCTAACTGGACCTGTGCCATATGGCTGCATCTCTAATAGAGCAAGTCTGAAGTCTTTTTAGCACAGCTGTTTTGTTAAGGTGAGAAATTCAAAGAGACAAAATTCCAGGCTGGCAACTCCTTGGAGGGTTTAGTTAGTATAAGGTATCATCTTTTGTTTTGTTGTACAAGTTGATGGCTGTATTGTGAAAGATGACAGGTTCACAGTTAAAGGTTAAGGTCCCTGTCCTATTTCCATTGGAGAAAATTTACTGTGAATATTTCAGATTAAATAGGAGGGCTCCTATCTTCTAAGCTAAAAAAAAAACCCAAAACGGAAGAAGAGTTTACATTTCGTAGAGATTAGAGATTTTTTTCAAGATAAAAACACTTAAGTGCAAACAGGTAAGAAATACTCATTTTTTTGCCATTGCATACGTATATAATCAGATCACACTATCTTCTTTTGTCCCAGTTTGTTCTCTCAATCCATTTAGACAAAATAATGAGACCAACCAAAATTATGTTCTGTGTAGCACCGTGAACTTGAACATCCTGTAAGTTTCTTACTGATTAGTCATTACAAAATACCAGCTCCTCTGAAGTTAATAAGTTACAAAATCAACCCTTAAACAGATAAATGTGTGTTTAACTAGAACGCATATACAGTTTCTGTGCTGATCCTTACACAGAGGAGATACTGTTATGTTTAGTAACATCTAGGCACACTATAAGTAGCCATATGACATTTTGCCATTGCAGCAGTCGCTTTGTAAAGAGAAGCACAGAGAGCATATACTTACTCTGTCTCCTTTAGGACCTGCAGGGCCATGGGGACCAACTGGGCCATCTACACCCTATGAAAGGAAACAAAGAGGGTAAGAGAGAGGTCTTGTTCTTACAAGTCTTTAGTTTTAATAGCTGTCTTCTAGCCAAGAACTAACATGGAATCAGTCTTCAATGGTTGAAAATTCAGACTTAATTGTGATGGGACCTGGCCAAACAAATCCATTTGGCTTTCAAAACTCCACCTATAAGCTCTCCTGTTCTGAGGTAACCCATCTGTCTTTCAGTTGGATTTTACTTTATTCATGGAAGCCATCAGATGTACAAAGACTTTAAATGTATTGAAGGAAATTTTGCCAGGAAAAATGGAAGGGTCAAAGTTGTTTTTTTTTTTTAAAACATTGATTATTATTTAAATTGCAATGTCCTTACAGGTGGACTTACCTGTTGTAGTGATCAACGGCAATCTTACAGAAGCCTTCAAATACATAACTCTACTCCTCTTTCATTTATAAATTTCTTTATCATTATCAGAAGCAAATGACTTAACATTTATGTTTAATATGAGAATGCCTGCGGCACACGTCTGCACCCATTTCACTGATTCCATATTAGCATTGAACAAGTATGTTTTCATGTGTAAACTAAATCCCTAACCTTACTCAGGAAAGTAAGCACCCCAACCAAGGCAGTTGTCCAACCAAAAATCAAAACCAAACTGCCTCTTTAAGATTCAGAGCTCCTTCTACAGAGAATGACATTCTCCTTCCCACACACATTGCCCTAAGAGTCTGCTCGAAGCCCCCTCTTATACAGCATGGAAAATGCCTGCGGCGTTTGACCTTCCTTCCTCTGTGCAGTGTGTGAGCGTGGCCGGCGGAGCCGCTGGAAAGCACACGGACTCGGGAACGAAGAGCAACACAGAAAGACGAGGGACTCACCCGGGGTCCTGGCTTTCCGTCTAAGCCAGATGCTCCCTGTGTGGTTAGGTGGAAGCATGGATGATGGGTACAACACGAATGACAAGAACGTGAGATTAGTAAGTGGTGCTGATGAATAAACATAATTCAAACGTACAGTACAAGTTGTGACAGGGTTCTGGAATGGGTATCACATTACTACAGCATGTTAGTTAAAAATTCACATAAAACATCAAGAGCCTGATTCCATTCTCACATTAGTGTAACATCCCTGACCCGCCCCTGCCTTCACATCACAGTTATATTAGACCAGAATAACGTCAAGCTACAGGAGTGCTACAAACACCAGATGTCAGGGTGTTTTTGAGCCTTAACACGCAAATATTTACTTTGTAATTTACTTGCATGCTTTCTAATTTGTAAATAATGACAATAGTGAATACTATACTACACAAAGAAAGAAAAATGTATGTTAAGCGTGATAGGAAGTATTTAAGTGCAAGAATACTGCGTTATGCAGCCAACAAAATCTGGATCCTGACTACAATGGCTTCATTCATTTCCAAGAGCCCGGGAGACAATCACGTTTCCTGTTTTCCCAATATACTCCCAGTTCAGAGCACAGTCAAGGGCTGGAAGTGGGTAGCACCCGGCACTTCGGGCTATTTGCTTCAGCATCCTTGGGGACGGGCTGACCTCTGGTGGATTTTATGCGAATAACAGAGCAGCACCGAAGGATCTGCTCGACTATCCCAACACTGCTGGCAGTAATGCTGGGGCTAGGGGAACCAAAACTATTTGGGACATAGGGAATAATCTGGGCCAAAAAAACCCCAATCCAAACCCACCCCCCCCAAAAAAACCTCATTAACGGTGAAAATGAGCCATTTTTAGAAAGTCAAATACGTAGACTTTGCTCCTTAAAATGACATTTAGAAAAAGTAGTAAGCAGGAGCAAGACAAGATCTATATACAGTTGAAAAACTAATGGCATATTTTGCTCTGGGTTGGAACAAACATTTCTGGCAGATACAAAACTTTCTTCTTCCTTTTAGCCATTTTCAGGGGGTTGGCTCAGACCTCCAAAGCTCCCTCTCTACATAGCTGTAACTGTCAACTTGAAAATTATCTTTTTTTTTTTTTTCCAAAATAAATTAAAATTCTCAGTGAAGCTGACCTTGTCCAGAGGCCCTGCACATAATTCTTGAAAATATTAATCAGAGGGGGTTGGGTTCCTTTGGGTCAACTAAGCCTTTTTCCTCCATTTTACTATTAACAATGTAATCACATGGAGTAATCCTCACATGAAGAAAAAAAAAAAGGGAAAACCAAACTCTTTTTGTGAGGAAAAAATAAAACTAACTTGTCAGAGTGCTTTCATGCACACAAAGTAAGCACACAAAGTATTTGCTCTTTTGTCAACCTAAATTTTAAGAACCATATTGTTTCCACATGAAAATTTATTTTTAAGGTCCTTCATTTCTTTCTAAGACAAAATTTATGCCAAACACTCAGAATGGAAATCTTTTAAAGAACAAGGTAAAAGAAACAACCCACCATCCTTAATGAATGAGAAAAAAAAATAAAATTCCCTAAACCAATTTTTAACTTTCCTCAGTTAGACCTCTGCATTTTAACTGCAGAAGTGAAAACAGGGGAAGAATAACTGAAGACATGGGGGGAAAAGGGAAGATTCCTTTTTTAACGCAAACACCATACAACACTTAAATAACAATATGACTAATGTAATGGGGCTGATGGCATCCTTGTGACACTGAACACTTTCAACTGACACATAACAAAAAAAACCTGACAGCACTGGTTGTTACAGGATGTTACTTTGGACAATAGCACAGATTTGGGGTAAAAAAACCAAGACTGATGCTCTGCTCTAACCTAGTATATTCTGTGTATGCTGTTGAGTAAACCAGAGTTGTTCATCAGGAGTAGAAAGAGAAGTTTGTGATTTGCACTGAGATTGAATAGTTGGGTTTTTTTACTTACTGGAAGACCAAGGGGCCCTCTGTCACCCTTTTGACCTGGTTCACCCTTCAATCCTTTAAGACCATTTAACCCTGGTTCACCCTAAACGTAAAAGTATAAATGCCAAATTTTTGGTGCTATAATGGGTGTTTAAGCTGGGATAGAAGAAGCCAGTCTCAGAAATGGCTGCAAATTCCAGTTTGAAACAAGGACACAAATTCAACCTTCTCAGCTTCCTGGCAATTTACATATGGATAAAGTAGTGGGCAAAAGCACCTGGGAGGTGTCTGCTGGAGATTTAAAATCTATGTGAAAAAAACTAAAGGAAACTTATGAGTAACAGGTTCTTTTGAATCTTTTCCTAATAATTATCACTATAGTTAGATGGTTTGAATTAAGCATGAGTTTGAGGGGTTTTTGGAATTTCCTCAAATCCCATAAACCATCCCACACAGATAATTCAAACTGAAGGAAAACTTTCAGAAAAATAAGCCTCAGAACTGCAGGTTTCTACAGTGGGATCTCCTGAAAAGTACGTTTTTTAAGGAAGCAATATTTTTTCTTATGGCAAACTGGAATTTGCAGCAAAATCTTACATAAAGATATTTTAAACCTTTAAGCATACATAATTAAACAGTAACAAATTAAAAGAAGCAGTATAGGTTATACAATGCCAAGCTATTTGGGAGCTCCATAGTTTCTGTGTTCATACAGAGAAGTTTAAACAATGTAAGAAATGGCACTTGTCTCGTTGTGATTGTTAAATTATGCATAGGCTATTACATTAAACATCACTAAGCATATAATGTTGGGCTTGGAGTTGCCAATAAATCATTCTCATGTCATGAAAAACTACCTCAGCATGAGGGCTGCCCAGTCAAAAAGAGTACTGACCACACCTGCCTCTTTTGGGAAACAGAAATATGTGGGTATTTCATCCAGGCTGCTCCTCATGGCCTTGCTCCTAGGTTTCCCTTTGATGTATTATGTTACCTTATATCATATTCATTTAAAAAAAAAAAATCTCAACAGAATCTAGTCTACTGCTTTAAGTAACTCCAGACATCATCTGCCTGCTTTGCACCCTGCCTAAGTAGCCATTTCTTCATTCTTCTTCTATTTGACTCAATGTGACTGTCAGAGCAGTAGCACTGAAAACGCTGAAGTTTTGGAAACAGACCTGAGAAATCTCACAAAAGCCTGAGTCTCAGGCCAAAAGCCTGAGGTAAGGCAGGGCTGGTGCTGATGGAACAGACTTGACTTAAAAAAATGATTTATGACTCAGGCTTCTTGTGCCAAGGTAACACAAACAGTCTCATAATGAGTCAAACCTGTAATTTTCTGTCTCATACCTTAAAAAAACCAAAACAAAATCCAAAAACTAAATAATCCCCCCCTCCCTCCTCTTACTTATTTTTTGAGAAAGATGCATGTGATTAGGGAGCCATAGTGATTAAAATGATCATGCCTGACAACACTGCTGGCCCTAATGAATACTATGCTGTAATGTCACAATGAATTTTAGTTTACTGGTGATTACTGAATTAAAGCACAAATTAAAATATTCCAACTCTGCCAAAACTTCCTTCTGAGCTGTTTTCAGGGGCTTAGAGAGTCCCTACAGTGTATCTTCATGTACTATGCTGTGGAAAATGTTCAAATAGTATTGCAGACCTGCCTGATCAGGGATTCCAGGTTGGAAAACATGAAAATACACACATGAGTTTGTGATGGGGAACTTGCATAATGTGTGAAGGAACTGGTCAGCAAACTACATGGCACTTGAGAAGGTGAAAGGCCATTCATACTGGAAGAAGTAGGAGATGCAAGAGAGCATAAATGAAGAAGAGTTATCTGACTCCATTTCCTGAGCATATCACACGCTTCTGTGTTCAAAAGCAATTCCAATTGCAATTGCAATGGTGAGCAACTTGCCTATAAATATGAAACTAAATAATTTAGTGCCACACCACAAATATTAATACAAAAAAATGGATTCAGCCAATGTTCAGGAGAAATACTACTCAGAAACAATCACAGAAAATTTAAAAAGCTTTTAAGCTATCTGTTAATATTAAAATCTGCTTTAAGGTTTAAGAATATCAGAAACATTTATTAAATGAGACATAAGACAAAACATAGCTGCATGCATTAAAGAACAAAGCATGACATCAAGACTTTGCAGACATCAAAAGCATGACTATTCAAGACAGCCATTAATTTACCTTTGGGCCAGGCAGTCCATGAGGTCCCTGAAAATAAAGATAACATTTTTCATTACAAAAATATGCCACAAGTTTTTAATAGTTTCTTGCTTTGTAGGGGTGCAAGTTGCACCTGTATTTTTGTCCTCACAGATGAAATGCAGCTGCCAGTAAAGCAACTGTAAACACCTGATTCAGAGAAGGAACCAGACCACTAGCATGTTAACACTAACATTTGCAGGTGCAATTTGTTTCTCTACTTCCTATGAATTTTAAGACATGCAGAAAAGGTCCTAAAATTAGCTCCCTCTCTAATGGTACCACATACTCTCATATCACTTCTATTAAGCAGGCGTTAAAATTACAAGAGGGCTTAAGGCCTTTCTAGCCCCGCTCTTCCTCCCAAGCTTACCATAGGGCCTGGAGGACCATGTGGCCCTGGTGGTCCTGGTGGTCCTATCATCTACAGATAAAAAACAACAGCATTAAATCATGCAGAGTAAAGAACTCCCTCACAAATACCAGAAGTCAGACTGCCCCTTCTTCTGTTGGTAAGCACTCACAAACATAGCAATGCAACGGTGCACATTGACAGCATATCTAGAAAGGGGTTTAGGAATGGGAGTTATTTTGATTCAAAAGACAGGGTACCTGAAGTTTAGATTTGCCTGTGCCGTATGGCAGCGTGCCTGTCTCCTGACTCTTATTCCTAGGGCCTAAGATACACTTTAAGACACTATGGGGAAAAAAAGATCTAAGACAAACAGTACTGAGCAGGGATGCTTGAACTTTTAATATTTTATGGTATGTGCTCCTTAGTTGTCTCTGTACTACATAATCTACAGAAACAGAAGATGATGTATGATTTTATTCCTCCCCAATACTGATGAATGGAAAAGATACTAAATTCAAGCTAGGGTTTGGCATATTTTCAAAATTGCCTTTTGTCTCTCCTTTTATTTCATTTAACCCACTTGTACCAAGAATTTCCTAAAGTCATTAAAATAGGTAATCAGGTTGCTCAGCATTTAGTGCATGCATATTCTGTGCTGGTTTTCTGTGTTCCTAACAAATCCATGAAAGAGAATTTCATGATGATATTTACAGTTTAATATCACCTCTCTTCCTGGGTTTAATCCCAAAGGGCTGTTATTGTAACCTGCAAGGTGGCAACAGGGATGCTAAATCAGGTCTCCAGACTTATGCGCATTCCCTCTGCTACGCTAGCTGTTGGTGATGGCAATAGTGGTAACAAAATGAGGTTTGAAATGTAAGACAGAGATTCCACCATCTGTGAAATCTCCTGAAAACTTGAAAGCCTTGTTTCAAGGAAAAACAATCAGAACAAGATGAATGAGTTAGTGAATTAATTTGTAACAAGTTAATCTTCATTTAGAGAAAGAGACTCAGAGATACAGGGTGCCCAGCGTGTCCTGCGATGGCAGAGGGTAACGTCTTTTGACTCCTCAGAGCTATGGCTCCAAATACCCAGGGCATGTCACCACTGACAAGGTAGTGGTAGTTAACTTCTGCTCTGAGGGTTCCTAACTTACTGTGCCCTGATAATGTTAATGACCCATATCATAAAGGTGTTGCGTGGGGAGGTGTTTTGGTTTGGGTTTGGTTTTTTTTTTGTAATGCCTTTACAATGCTTTGAAAAATCAAGATAATGTCTGGTCTCGTAAAACTAGTCTCTATCTTGGGTCACATGTCCCTATTCCTGACATTGCTGAAGTTGGTCTACTCTGGTTCTCACTGGACTTTCTGAGATCCCCAGAATACAAGGTGTTGAGAGAGATCTGGTTTTGTTGGTGTTTTTTTTAAATCAGTTTTATCTCTCTATTTTATCTTGCAAAGCATTTAGCTTTTGATCCATTAGAGAGCCAGAAGGCTTTCACTGAAGTGAGCAGGACTGTTGTTCATAGTGAGAGAATAGAACAGAACAGGATTATATCTTTAGAATTTCTTAAACAGTATTTAGTTCTATGACCAGAAGTCTGTTCATTCTCAAAAGGGCAAATTATTCAAAGAAGAAAAATGTTTTTAAAGTTCAAGTGTAGGAAGCATGAAGGATGTCAGGAAAGATCAGTCATGAATATTAAGTATTGTTCAGAATCAAAAGCTGGAGAACCATTACTGGACTACTGTGTTCACTGCAACACCACACTGAGACTTACTGAAGGACCTTGGGCACCAGGCAAACCAACATCTCCTTTTTCGCCTTTCATACCATTGGCTCCCTACAAAATCATTACAAAACAGCGTTTATCAACAGCTTTACTCTTATTAGCAATCAATCTAGAAATGATAATATTTATTTGCAAATAATTATATTTTTTTTAAAAAGAATAATACAGCACACATAATGGAATTCCTTTTTTTTTTTTAATTTTGGCGTTACTTTATTAATAACTGTTAACAACTGTAAAGGTATGCTTTTATATTGTCAGCTATGAATTGTGGCATGATATTTACGACAAGTCCTTAAGCTGGCACTCCATTCATGATATATTGTACTATGGATACATTTTTGGAATTGTTTCTATTTTTACTGAGAAATTTCATTTGTACATATATATGTATATAGGAAGAATGCATCCCATAAATATTGATGCATTTTCTCTCCCTCCTCCAAGTCATCTGAAATTGCTGACAAGTGTTCAAAACATAGCTCCTTTCTCCTACAAGCTACACTTGCCCAAGTTGTGCTATACATTTCAAGAGAGGTACAAATCTGATCAGCATGCCGACTAAACTCTCTCTTCCCAAAGCGATATTCTGTTTGACTGTAAGAGCAATGAAAAGTTCCGACAATCTTACACCTCGTCCTAGATTAGCTGCAGAACAATCTCAGAATTTTCCTCCCCAGTGCTTTCTGTCCCATTTGCAATTTATCAGCACTGTTGGAAACTCCTGATAGTGGAAGAGAGAAAAAAATACAAGTATTTTGGCTAAAATTAATTTATTTTTCATACTCACTGGCAGGCCAGGCAGTCCAATTCCTCCCTTTTCTCCAGGCATTCCAGGATCACCTGTATCTCCTTTTGAGCCTTTAGGACCCTAAAATATGTACTTATTCAGCAAGTCATGTGTAAAAAACCCAGACACACCAACAGAATTCTAGCTTTGATCCTAATAAGCAGAGTAAGTCATTCTATGGCTTGACCTTTGTTATTAATATGTAGAAATGCAGCCATTATTAGACCGCAGAGTATGCAGCTACATAATAATGATCTTTATTAATTACTATCATTATTATTTAGATTATGAAATCTAAGCTACAACGTGGGATCACAGAAATAATCTCCTGAAATAACCTATGGTTGCTCACATGATCTTCACTACATGATTTATGCATAATGTACCTGCTCCCCATCAACACCTGGAGTTCCTGGGGATCCTGGTTCACCCTGCAAAAGATAAGATGGAATTGGATTATCCCAGTTGTCCCAGATGTTAGAAGAAAGAGCCAGAGAAATTGCCATAATTAACACCACCACTACCACCAGAGAATATTCTGTCAAAAAGAACAGCATATATGTATAATACCTATATGCAACATATTGAATAAATAGCCCTGCTGATTAGGCCATTACACAAACTTTGGGTTGTATAAAGGCCAGACAAGTGCATAAAAAAGAAAGGAAAAAGAAGAAACCTCAGAATCCTGGTTAAAAGACCCCAATCTAATGGAAACCTTGTCAGTTATTGGAATAAATGCGGAATCATGGTTCTCTACATATGTAGGTTAGACAGAAACTTAATGTTTTCTTTCCCTGGCTAATATAAATCACCCAGTGAAGGAGTTCACGTTCACAACATTGCCCTATGACCGGTTCCTGAACAGCATTCTCCAAGGGAGCAAGTTATATTGATGGGTAGAGACTCTGATACTGGAAACAAACTCCTGTAAGGTTGAATTCTGCTTTATGTCATTAATTTCGAATGAGAATGCTCACCCATACGAGGGAACACAACCTCTTCCACACTCCAACTCCTTTGTGTTTTCCAACATACTCCAGGCTGCAGAAATGCTGGGTAGATCCTAACGCAGAAAGCCATTTCTGCACACTTAACTGTGTATTCCATTCTGGTTTCTCACAATTTCTCAAAACTATTAACATGTATAATGTGATGTATTTCCATATGATCCCTTGGATGAAGCCTAAAATTGAAGTCTCTAGTATTGTTATTGAAGCAACAGGTATTTACTCTTGGAAGAGCTTAGAGTCACTAATAGAAGATACGATATATCTAGTATTTAAGAAATAGGAGATTTATCTCAACTAATTTAAAACCAATTTAAGGAGGATCCACTAACTGCGACACTTTTTTTTTTTTAAGTATAGGCAAATTTATTATTTAAATTTTATAGAACAGTGCAGCATATGGTATTCATTGTCTCTGTGTGGGCTGCTCACTAACAGTTCTGGTACTGCGCATAGCACCAGCCAGGTGGGATTAGCAGGCTTGGGTTTGCAGCCAGGCTCCTACCCACGTGTGCATGTTTTAATTTTTACTGACATCAGAAAATACTGTGCTTATTTGGGTGGGCACCACCGTAATATAAAAGCTGCATTCACATGCACTCACACTGTGGCCAGTGGTGCCTGGCACACAGTTTTGCCTACCTCATTCCCACCCAGCCAGAAGTGATGCATAGGAGCCACTGTCTGGTTGTGCTGCTACTTTGCAAAGTCCTGGGGAACAGCCTCAGTGCAGATCCATGGGGGAGATGCTTCTGCCCTGTTTCAGTACTAATTAGTTTTGCTGGTTCTCAGCTGAGCATCCGTGTGTGCCAACTAAACAAAGCACCTGTTCTGGAAAGCTACATTTCAAAAGGCTAGGATGAAGTTTGAAACATGCCATATTTGGTAAAATTACAGTTAAATATGCTGTACAGGAGAACTCCATGTACTTGTATGCACACATTAGTAAAAAACCAGAAAACAGCTCCACCCCTAAGATACAATGGGTAAAATAAGGAAGATCACCTTTGGCCCTTGCAGCCCTTGGGGTCCTGGTGGTCCTGGTGGCCCCTAAACAGAAAAATACAAACCCCTCAGCTTTTAAATAAATTCTTGCAGGCCTTGCCATGTAAACACAGGCTGAATGTTAATATAGCTACCGTAACAAAATGAGTTAGATTTTTAACACAAGGGGAACCAAGACCAGTTATGGACAAGTTGTTAATTTATGACAACTCTCAATGACCAGAAGGGTACCACAAAAACCAATGTTAAAATAACAGTACAGCTCATATTTTATAATGAAGTCCTGCTGCTCCTATTGATGAAATGGCAAAGCTCCTCTTAACGGCAGGGACACCAAAACTCACCTCTGCCACATTTGCCGGCCCTCACATCCTGATCCAAAACAACCCAAGGTCGGGAGAAATCTCCAACTGATTGCAAAGACAATTCTGCTAAAAGATGCTAAGTGCATTTGGGAATATGCTGTGCTTCGTGAAATTGCCATGGAATAAGTTGGAACTATTTCTTTCATTTCTACCTCAGGCTGTGAACACAGTGTCACATATCAAATATTTGTCTCGATGGTGCACAGTGGGGATGCTTTTAAAAAAACCAACAACATTTACAAATCCCTTCCATTAATATAAAGGCAGCACTTGTACAGAAAACAGGACTAACAGCAATCTTGCAGAGAAGAACTTGCAACAAAAAGAAGAGTAAATTATTTGTTTATACCAAGTCTGCAGCTTTAAGGAAAGGCTGAACCTGCAATACTGTAAGCATCTCCTAGCTCGTGTCAGTGCTCTCAGAAATGGTGTCTGACCTGATGTGGCTAAACCTCCCACAGAAATTGGCTGGAGTAAGAGCACTGGAGTGTTCAGTCATCCACATATTTTGGGGACAGGTGCTGGAAAATTTATCTTTATTTCTGAGATCTGATATGATGGGACAAGAAAATTCCTCATACTTAGGCTTTGTACTTAGCTTTACTTATTTATAGTTAACTGAAACAGGCCTTTTTTTCAGAAAATAATTAATTTGCATCCAGTCTGAAAACTCCCAAATGAAGTTTCTTCACAAGCCAATTTGAAAGAACTGAATTTCTGCCCTGAAAATAAGGTTGATAATAGAAAATTGTTTGGTACTCAAATCCTGCTTCATGTTTTTGCTTGACTCCCATGTAGACACACACAGAGGGGAACATATACCAAAAATTCCAAAGCAGCTATCTGTGTACCTACAGAAATATTGAGATCTGTATTTTCCTGGTGTCTTACTTAAGTGAACTGAAGTTTTGCCATTAATTCAGCAGGAGCAGAACTGGTTCCATTGTTGAATGGATTTCAACAATGGGTTCTCTGTTATGGGAACACCAAGCAAATAAATAAATACATCTGATGATGAACCAGGTCGACATCCAACGAAGGCATGTCCTGAACTACCAGAACTATGAACATGCTTCAACACAAGGAAGCTCTACAACACACAGTAAGTCATGCAATAGGAATTACCGTGACAGTCAGGGTGGCAATCCTCTGTTGGCAAAATGTATTAACAAGAGACACCGTTACCAGAATTGAACAAATATATAAATTATTCTGCTTCTACTATTATCATCTCTACAAAACCTATGCTGCATCTGGGAGACACCATGCCTCCAAAAAATAAGAGTAAAAAGCAGGTTATTTTGAACTCCCATTGTTGTACTAGCTGCTTGGCTTCTATGAGAATCAGGATTTTACATAGGTGAAGACTGCAGGTTCTCGTACAATTTAAGAGATCAAATAAATGATGACTAAAAGTTCCTACAAAGGTTAAACTTTTGCAGCTACTGCCTTTTCCCTTAGGAAATTCCGCAAAATAGGTCTGAAGAGCAATTTCGATAGAGACATGAATTTTGTATCTGGTCCTCCAAGTGAAAGCCACTTACACTCAGCAGGGGTCTTGCTCGAACTATGATGATAATTTTAAGATCGCAGTTTTCAGCACTGATGGATTAAGACATCTTATTCTCCACTGACACATGAGATTGAGTAGGAGGCACAAGGCAAAGTAACTAAATTGTTCTGAAGCTTCTAGGCTGCTTGATGATTTATTACTAAATTCTAAAAAAAACCAGACAGGCAGCCCAGATCTTGCAAACTCTTGTCAACTTCTTAAACCAGCAGGCCAAATTCTGCACAAGTTCACAACTCAGTGCTGAGCACTGAAAGTTCTTATTTACTTCTATGGGAGACCTGGAAATCTCAGAGCCCCTAAGAATTTGGCACCAGGAGACTTAGGAACGGGTGCTTGCCATCTGAAAGGACTGAGCTGGATTTGGCAAGGATAGTTTTGACTGATCCTATATAATCTCAATTATACCATCCTTGCACAGCCATTCCCATTAATATCAATTATTTGTTGCCCTGGATGAGAAGGTGATGACATTTGAAAAGATTTACAATGGGATAAGGGCCTCCTAATATGTTTCAACCACTGCAATAGGCTTTAGTCTCTTTTTAAGACTCTATGCGCTGCAGCTTTTCTGAGGAAGCTTGAAAGTAACATTGATGCCAGAGTTAAGATACAAAGACAGAATGCAGGAGATAAGGAGCTAAAGCCCCCAGTCAATCTGTGTCTGGTAATATGCAACATTAATTTCAGGCTACTTTAGGCATCTAACTTGGAGAGTGATTTAAAAGACTGAAAGTTGTGTGTTTGAATTCCCTTAAAAGTAAACCAAATGAGACAGATATAATGCAGAGCCTCACAACATACCTATGTGGACTTCCCCATAGACACCATTCACAATGAGAGTGGACTTAGCCTTAACGACATACAGGCTTTTAGATTTTAGTAAAGGCAGTGAGATTTTTTATTTTTCAAAAGAGTCTTGAAAACCAAATGACTGGCCAGACATCTATCCACTCCCACAGAGTAAATGCAAGAAAAAGAGTTCAGCAGCTTCAGTGAGAAAATGATCAGATGCACAATGAGCCAAATTCAGTCTTCAGTTGCACATAAGCAAGCCATTCACTTTGGTGGAGTTATACTGCACAGAATTTGCATCTGAGTATACTGCAATGTAAATCACCTTGACTGCAATGACATATGTCAACTTGGTACTTTGCTTTTATGCAAACACTCATTCATTCTTTTTGTAACCCCACTTTAATCCTCTACACTTTTCTGCACACCAGTCAAAATAAGTTTTCTGGAAATGAGTAAGTGGAAAGACTGGTGCTTGGTCTATTTAACATACTCAAGTTGCTGATTGAATCCACAGCTTGCTAATGGAACCATGTTACAAGGTTTCCAAATCTCAAATATTCTGCTCTTTGTATTTTATAGGAAGAGGAGGAGGAAAAGGAAGAAAAAAAGAAATGTCAATATTATACTATGTGAACTGAAAAGCAGACGCTTCTGTTGAACTTATGTATGTGGTTTATTACATGAATTCAGCACTAAGCACCAGAGCCAGCAACGAATCAGCTTTATCCTCATTAGATGATGTCAATACTCTCCAGGGGAAATGAAATTAACTCACTCAGCTAAATTTTATCAAGGAAACTGTTTGTCTAACACCAAACAGAAAACCTGGTTTCCAAGTGTAGAAAGAGATTCCTGATTAATAAGCTCAGCAAATCTTTGCACACAAAATGTTTTCAAGGTCTACACAAAAGAGAAATACAATGCTGTCAAACTGCTTTTTCCCAGACCAGACTAAGCCACTCCAGCCTTGTTAATGTTTGCATACCTGCAGAGCTTCATGGATATTGCCATTATAATCAATTATCTCTGTTGCACCTTGGTCACCCTTCTGCCCAGGTGGTCCCTGTAATATATTTTCCACAAAAATTTTGAAACACCTGCCAAAGACTATTCTAGACACTTAACTACTGACACATGCTTTGACTTGATTGTGCGGTGTTGGAATCTTGTTGTACTTAAAATATATTACTACAAACCACAAAAGTTAGCATTAAACTAAAGATTGTTTTTAAAGGAAAACAATTTTTAAAAAAAGATAAATATAAACAAGCAAATCAGTACACAGTGTCTTGTGCTGCAGTGGGAAAGTGAATATATGAAACCTCTGAGGTCAAATATTTAAGCAGTTCCTATACTCTAATTCTGTATTGGCTGTGAACAATGTCAGAACATCTGGCATGTAACATCTTGCCCATGAACTGTGAACAGGAGACTACTTCAAATAGTAGCAAGGGCTGTTATTCATATTAAAGGCCAGTTAGCAACATACCTTCCACCAGAGTCAAGTGCCCAATTTCACCAGTTTAACTGGAGTTGCTGCTACAATTTTAATTCATAGTGTGGACTGAATCTAAGAGTACAAAACAAACAGCTGAAATAAGAAGTAGACTTACCCGTGGACCTGCAGATCCCGTGTCACCTCTATCACCGGTATCACCCTATGTAAAAATGATATTTGAAAACTGATATGCCATTTGACAATATATCATGTAGTTCTTCCCTTTTAAATATGTTTACCTTAAATGAACCGGTTTAAAAGGCCTCTCATCACAAACAGAATGTGGATCTTAATTAATTAAAGGAAAAATTCCTTCAAAATCTGCGTAGTGGCAGGGTTGACGATGCATTTAGCTCTGTGTGAATTGTTACAGAGTGCTGTATTGATTTGGAATAAGAAATCCCAAAGAACCAATAAAAGACAGATTACCAATTAACTAATTTGTGTAACTTCCCTATTCTTAATGGTATTTTCATCAAAAGCTTCGAGAGAAACCTAGAGAAATGAAATCACTCACTCAGTCTGAAAACACTCAACAACTTCTTTAAAGGTGTGTTTCAAAGTATAAATTTTTCTTTCTGCGATCATGACTCCAATAACTTTCTGAACTTCCCTGCTCTGAGTCGTTGCCTCCCCTACAAACACAACATTACTGTCAGCATTAGAGTTCCTTCACTCCCTTACTGCAACACGCTTAAGATCTTTACTATCTTGCACGCAGCTTTTTCTGCCTGGCTATTAGTAATATGTTTTAAGCGATGGAGGGACTTTCAAACATGTATGCATTCATAACCCAACATCCAGTGACTACAATTCATTTCATTCTACAGTCACTTTCATAGCAAGATCTTATATTTTTATATTACTCAAAATTAATTTGGGTAAGAACTGCAACTTTTGCTCCTGTTGAAATCTATAAAACTTTGGCACAAGTCAGGGAAGAATGATTAATTCACCAGTGGTAATAGAAAATACAGAAAACAGAAAACTTTCATGGGGCTAATGAAGGAATACAGAGAGCAGGCTGGCGGCAGGACATAATCAAGGTTCTGCCATCTGCCTTTCCTTTCAGTGTTGCCTTGGCAGCAGCTAGTGAATGTGTCACTGGAATTGTTAAAAAATTAAGTTCTCAACCACTAGATTGACTTCTGTGGGCCATATTTTCAAGACAGGTATGCAGATAAAATGAAAATTGTGTATCCTTTTTTGATAAAAAGGAAATTAAAGGGGGTATCTTTTATCTTTTTGGTGCATTTGGGAGGTGCCCAGGTACTGTAGGCAAATGAGAGGCTTATGTACTCTTCTACTCACTCTGATGCTTTAATCCCTTCATCAGCTCCCTCACTTTCCAACGTTTCTTTCTGATGAGAATGAATGAGGTTAAGTGGCACTTATTTAATCATATCCTTAAGCACTGTGAGTGGGCCGCTCTTCAAGGACCTTACAAGTACTGCAAACAGTACCAGCCTGTGTTGTCTTGCATCTTTATTCTGACAGTAGACTCAATAACCGCCTAAACAAATCTATTTTCATTTTGCTTTGACTCCATAATATAACACAAAGGAGTCCAGTGAGCACAGTATTTGCACAGTGGATGAAATAATAGAAAAGCATATATTTTATCTCTCTCTACATATATGTGAACCAACTCTATCTATATAAAGATGGATGGATAGGTTGATGTAATCAAAGTAGTTTTTTTAAAGTAGGTAAAACAGTAATGTAACCTACAAGTCTTGCCTTTGTAGGACTTCTGGCCATCATATGTCAGCCTGCAGTATGTGGAATACCGCTGATTCCTAACTCACCAAAATGTAGCTCCACAAAATTATTGTGAAAATAAATAAATCTCCACAGGCATAGTCAGGTGTTGGTTCCTGGCATGTGGGAGGACTAACCCACATCAGTTACACAGAGAAAAACCAAGTTGCACAGTGAAAACCAGAGCAGAGTGGAATAGATGTTATAACAGGAAAAGAACTAGAATCACAGTGTTTAAAACACATAGGATTTGACTCTAATATCTAAAGCTGAAAGTCAGAAGGTTTCACTTATAAAGAACACCGCAGACTGTTACAGGTTCTTTTAAAGAGATAAGTTATAAGTGAAGTTTCTGTGAAATGTTACAAATAATTTATCCTAAAAATCATTGTATTAATTACTCCACTAAAGACGGTTTCTTTACTACTAACCTTTGACCCTTTTGGGCCTCTAGATCCAGGTTCACCTGTTTTCCCCTGTTTGAAGGAAGATAGACAGGAGAAAAATGATAGAGAAATGGGAGTGCAGAGAAAAAGAAATTAGTAATGACTAACTACAGTATGGAACAGCAGAAATACTTCATTTTATATGACCAAGATAATGAATCTGTAAAGGCACTGAATTTAATAGCACCTGGAGTAATATATTCTTTAACACCAGCATGCAAAGGCCACAGATTCTATCGTTCCAGAGGAAAAGTAGTATTGGCATTAGTAAAGAGTAGACATCATTAACATTGGTTTGCAGGAATGACCTATGTCATTCTATAGCTCCTGAAAAATGACAGCTAAGAGATAGAGAAGATAGTTAAACATCCTAAAATAAGGAGATTATAATAAAGTGTTACCACAGTTTCTTTTCCCAACAGTTCAGGTGAATACAAGCTAACTGGCCAAGGAGCACAGAATCTGCCTTATTATTTTCAAGATATATTAGGAAAAGAAAACTTGATGGTTTTGATGCAGTGGAAAATATTAAGACAATGCTAAAATGTAGTTAGAAAGATCTCTTTCTAACAGAGTTAAAAAACAGCATGCAAAATGGATTTTTCTCTGCATTCAACAGCTACACTGGTCAAAGAGTTCAAACACTGATGCTGAAAGTTAGGGACCTGGAGGTCAGGACTTTAGCTGGAATGAATTAGGCCAACTCCATGACAGTGTATGTAGGTAGAGTCTTTACTTTGTAGGCTAAATAAGAGTCCATTCAGACTGCAGATCCACAGCTGTGAACACAAAACTGCCATTGTCTTCTGGACTGAGCTGAAGTATTTGACAGCATTTTCATTTAAAAGCCCACTCACCAAGTTTTTGTTCTATTTTTTTCAGCAGGAAAAGATGTGTTCATAGGTGTAAAACTAACAAAACATTTCCAATGTAAAATCAGACTGACCTTTGGTCCAGGGACTCCAGGTTCACCTCGCTCACCCTTCCCAACAGGGCCTGCCTCTCCTCTGTCACCCTATTGCAACAGATACACATATATCACAAAATACTGGGCAGTCTTCAGCACACCGCCAACTCAGCACAACCAAAGAAACCAAACCATCAGAAGAAAACTTTTCCAAGTTCATCTGTGACATGTAATGGGTTGAGGAACTCTCCCTCGAGTAAATACAGTCTTGAAAGCAAAAGAAGGCAGCTTCAAAATGGAAATGGGATTTGTAAGGTATTTTCTTCCCTATTCTGAAAAAGGACTGGAATAAAGGATTCCCAAACTGTGAGACTGTAGGATTCATAATATTCTAACTGCCATACAGTGGCTAAAAAAACCCCATAGGAAGAAAGAAAAAAATACAGGTTTAGTGGATCTGCATTTTCAGTCTGGTGTGTAGTATCAAAGTTCTAATACCTGCACAGACTTTTAATCTTTTTTTCTAAAGAAACATTTATGAAAATATAGTTTCTTCAGTCATGCATATTCTACCTCTTGAACAAGTAAGTTTTGGGATGCTAACATGAACAAAGGCAATAGATGAACTTAAGGTATGAATGGATATAACATCTGCCTTCACATTGTTTGAGGGCATCAGTACAAAGACACATATATCATAGCACTAGTCCATGAACTATGACTTTCCACATTTTCCTCCATTAGTACAGTTCTGAGGAAGTTGAATTTGACATTGGCTCTAAGGGCTTCTCACCAGAGTGTTGGACAATTATGTTTACCTTTGTTCCTGGCAGCCCTGGCAACCCCGGTTCTCCTTGCGGACCAATGAAACCTGGTTCACCCTTCAAAAATACAGTATGAGAGGAATGTTAGATTATTTATTTAGCAGTATGTAATTACAGTAACACAAATTTCTTTTGGATAGTATTTTCCCTGTATTGCTTACAGCTCTCCAGCTGTGATGCAACAGTTATATAGACATACTTTTCATCATGGGTAACTTTTATCAGCATAAATTCTTGTAGCAAGCCATCACGCAGCACATGAAATGCAAATGAAGCAGAAGGTGTCAAACATAGTTTTTATGAGGTTAAGGACTGTTAATATGCAGCCTGGTCTATAACATAAGATACCAAACTAATATCAAAGCAGTCTGAAGGCACGAGGGGAGTTCTGAGTGACTCCTAGATTTAAAAAGGGACAGTTCATTTCAGTCATGTGTTACGAGGTAGTTTTCTATTGCAGCATGTGAATAGATGGCAGACAGGGTAAGGGTATGACAAAGCAATGACAAATGGAGAGGCCAGGTGGTACTGTTTCAATGTGTTTTCAAGGGAGGTACTTAGCTGCATCATCCCCCAAAAGGAGATCAAAAGCAATCTCCTTTCAAGTCAGAGACTCCCAGTACCATGGTACTCTCCCTCTCATACTGACAGTAAAATACTTCAGTTCTCTGCACCCGGACAACTTCTCTGGCTGTGAACAGCTGGGAAAGAGCCACAGCTCTCCTCATTCCCTCTCTGTTCTGCCCCCTTCCTACCCATTCATTTGTACAAACGTAACAGACATATAGCAGGAATCAAGCTGAGCTGCAGCAGAAGCAGCATTAAGCAGAGGAGTAAGGACATATTTTATTACCTATCTCCATGCCTGAAGGCGGATAATGGAAGATTAATAAGCCACATGTTTTCCTTCACAAACTCCCCTGAACAAGGTTTCCTGCTATTTAATCTTACTTTTTTTCACAAAAATTTGAATCAAGAAGATACACCCATAAGCTATTGTAAATTTTAAAATCAGTAGTGTCACCCAATTAATCAAGATATATTTATTAGCCTTTTAACAATATCCCTGAACTTAATGACCAAAAATTACCCATCAAATGCCTCTTTAAATAGCTAAAAGACAGATGTGTCATTATCCTGTATTGCTATAATTACTGACAACATATAGAGACAGTGAATATAAGCAGTTGGATAATGTTTCTCTTCACCTCTTGGCCTCCATAGAAATACAGGTATGCTGCACGGGGCGAGCAAATAAGGAAGTATTCTTGCACATTCGTCTGCACTCTCATCAGCAATCCATCATTAACAGTTCAAAGCAAAGCAGGTCTCTGGCAAACCTATAACCAGAGATACCTTTCCTGTGGCTGTATTGAGGGCCATAGCAAGCTCTCAGTGACCTTAATTTAGATTATCAAAAAATACAATTAAATAATGAGTTTTCTCGCAGGAAGTTCCAGCTGGTCACGGTTCAAAATGTGATAACAAAGGAATAAACTAAGACAAACGTGTCACAGAGAAGCATCAGTTTCTTGCTGTCATAGGAAAATAACCTCACAGTTTATATAAGTTTTTGTATTAGTGCATACCAGCAAGAGTAACATAAGGTTGTCATTGCAGATGGAAGCACTTTAATGTCAGTAAATTAAGAACAATGCAGCTTCAATCATTTATTTTAGAATGAGAAGGGACTCGATAGCCCCAGAGTGTTTTAATACTGGCTTTACCAGGGCTAATTTCTTGGCCAGCTAATTATGACTTCAGGTAGAAGAAACATGCAGTGACTACGTGATTCAATCTTTTCTGTGGTAAGGCTTAGAAGTGTCATTCAGAGGTTGATGCACAGCTTTTGAGTCAAATTCTCACACTTTGCTCAGGATTATACCAGCTGCATACCACAAGAAAACTTCTGGCCAAAGTCCAAAAAGAAGTCCCACCTTCCCCCCAAATTTCTGAACAGATAGGAAAAAGGTGCTTTGCCATAGCTAGTGGAATTGATAAAGGAAGAAGCTGGTGACTTAATTAGCACAAGTAGCAAACAGCTCTTAAATGACACAGAGCTTTAAAACATTATCAAATGTGGAGTGGAAGAAGTTGTGTGTCAGTAGAGACTAGGAACTGACTGGCTCAGTAGCAGCTCTGCTGAGAAAGACGTGGCGGTTATGGTGGATGCCAAGCTGAACATGATCCAACAGTGTATTTCTTACCACACATGAAAAAAAATGCAGTAGTTAAGACCTGGCTACATTAAGAAAAACATGCAACCCTCCCTCTATGTAGAGCTAGTGAGGCTAAGTAGATTAAAAGACAGATCTGATTTGCCATCTGAACTAAGCTTCTAAGTAAAAAGACAACATGTTTGGATGATTTGAAACTAAGTCATGTCCTCTGTAATATTTCAAATTTCCTGAGTGTAACCACAGCATAAGGCATTAACTAAAATGCTCATTGGGTATACTTCTGCACCATTCAAAGTTAGTGGAGGTAGCAACTGTATCAGGTTTGTCTCTGGCATTTCTGTCTCAGTTACTCAGAAGAGAAACTTTTACATGAGAAGCAATGCCCATTCCTTGTACCTACTGTATCCTGCAATTATATTCTGCAAAAATTGCTGGCTTCCAACTTTATGTTATCCTATATGCCACTCAGATATCAAAAAAAGAAATGAGAATCTATCAAAATTAGCACTGCCAATGATGTGTGAAATGTAAAGAAAAGTTTTCTCTCAGTAAGACATGCTGATGTCTGTTATGCAAAGGCAAGGAAGAGACCATTCTGATTAGTCCATCACACAAACACAATGCCAGAGCCATAGAGGAATGTGGTTAGGAAATTAAGGACCAAGGGTTTTAGTTTTTGTTTTAAATACACGACATTTGTGATTTAGCTGGCACATCACTGCAGGAAAGCAAGAGTGAAGGCTTGTTGGCAACTGCACTTTGATTTGACAACATTGTAGCTCCGAGATTCACTGAAGCATCTCCTGATCTTAAGTCTCCTGCTTAAATGAACTCAGAATTTTTTCCAAACTACTGTGAAATGCTGAGAGGAATGCAAGGAATTGGAGTAACCAAGATTTATAATACTTTTCTAAACATCTCACTACAACTTCTTACAATAAAACCAAAGTTTTATCTAATAAGAATCTACCACTAGCTTCTTTGCCCGTGAAAGCAGGGGCAGGAACACAAAATCTGGAAAGAGGAGTTAAACAGGTAGGTTTTGAAAGAAGAGTAAGGAACTCCCCCATTTGAAATACTGTTTGGCAGCTGTATAGAAAGCCATCAGCAAGTGAGGACTCTCTGTGCCTTTTAGTTTAACCCTTTGGTACAATTATGAAATCACTGCTTAGAAACCACCACATTGCACAGGAAGTGAACAGGATGAATTTCAGCATTTGAATTTCATCTGCTGTTAGGGCTTGGAGCAATTTGTATCAGTCATACAACACAGGCAGCTTGGTATTAAAAAAAAAAAAAAATCAACAAGCTTGTGCGTTGCTTCCAGTTTACAGGAGTGATTTGTTATCTTTTTAAGAATAATTTTAAATGGCTTGATATGTTAATATTTTAAAAGACTCAGAGACTACCTCTATGCGTGCTCATTTTCACCCTCAAGTGTTTGTCAACTGTAGAAATACTAATTGGTCAGACAGCAAATGATATACTACTATTCACAAACTTTGTTAATGTTCACTTTCACCTCTTACCATAAAATGTCTGAAACAGAAAAGGGCCCTATAATGGCATGCTGTACACCTAGCGTAATGTGAGCTCCATCAGAATTTAACAGTAGAAAAGCCACCTTGTAATTTACTTCAGAAGATAGTCAAATTTTTATGAGGATTATTATCTAGACATATTCATAACTGGTTTTCATGATGATCAAAGCTTCTATGGGCTGAGGCAGAGGCTAGCTTTGATACTAGAGATTAACCCTAAGACACACTGTTTGCTGTCACTGTCTTCTTTTAACTTTTATAGAACCTGTAATTGGCTAAACCACGGACTTTCGCTTAAAAAGCTGCAACAGTTGAAATCCCATTTGCAATGCTAGTTGCGGTTTTAAACACCACTAATTTGGCAACAGTTTATTAACAATGTAGTTGTAATACCATATTCAGTTAGAATTAGCCTTCATTGCACAGCTGAGACACACAACAACATAATTATTTGAAACTTTGTTCTCACAGACAGGCCCAGTCCACTTCCAGTGCCTGAAATACACAGGTCTATGCTGATAACAAGCAGCCAGTAGAGAACAGCAGTTGTTGGATACACTGTTTTCCCACAGAAGGCTCTTCCTTCTATAATTATTCTTTTAATGAATATAACACACATTTTCCCATCCAGATCAATGTTTGCCGAAAAAGAAAACCTGTGTTGCAGAAAAGAGCCCAAACCATCAACTTTCTGTAACAATGAAATAAATTCACTTCCATTTCTGAAATTGCTATCCTACATCTGAAGTCACTGATAAAATATTTTATTGTTGCTAAAGCCATAAAACACACGAGCGAGTTATTCCCTTTACAGATATAAACTGTGCAAGAGCTCTTAATTTTTTTTTTTTTAAAGTCTCCTGGCCACCTTACTATGTTCCTTCTACATCAAATTACTGCATTATTTTCTCTATGCTATAGAAATGAGACTAAACCAACCTTTAGACCATGAATTTGCAAGGAACAATGTCATTTCAATCCTTATCCTTATCTAGTGCTATGTGCCAGAACTAGCCAGAGAAGGTTAAATGTCAAACTCTCACCTTTATTGCATAGTTCATTGGTCCTGAAATATTTTATTCAGCATCTGCCCCGCTGCTGGGACCATGGCAGTTCTGTGCCTCCACGTACCTTTCCCTGGCATTGACTTGCAAGTGCGAACGTGCCATGGCCGGGACTCCCGCGTGCACACCTCTGGGTTGGCAAACCACACCAAAGCATCCAGAATTTCTGTGGAACATTCTGGTAATGTGGGTTCACCCCGCAGTTTCCGTACATGGAAAAACCTAGCTGTCTGGGCTAGAGGAGAACCCCGACATGCTCCAACACACAACTC